GCGCTTGCATTTAGATGCCGTCACGTTTAGATGCAATAAGAGCCTTCATATTCTGCTTTATGGCACTGTGTTTTGTGAATAAAATTATTTCGTTTGCAAGTAAAAAGATAAGTCCACGACGACCGCAGTGTTATGTTACCATTTACTAGCAGTTAATAAATAAATTATTTTTTTTTATTTATATACAATATGTCCCTGGATTGTCTTTACAAGAAGAAAAACCTTTATTACTGATATTTTGAGAAAAATGCATTCTTCATAAACATTTTTGCTTGTTCTAAAATGGTTAATCCCCTTTATACTTACCAAATTTCCACACCGTTTTAGAGAAAATTAAGAAAAACATGAAAATATGGTTGAATTTTTTCCTAAAAATCAAAACGCGTTTCTATGGTTATATCACGGCATAATATTCATTATAAATCACACGGCAGGCCAACTCGCTTTGGCGGGACCGCTACGCGCATATCCTAGCGCACGCCGCCATTATGGGTGCCAGTAACAGAAATTAACCAGTGTCGTAGTCAGTCGTAGTCTTTGTCATCGAGAACATACAGTTACGGCAGCTTTGAGTCAGTAGCGTGCGGCTTAATTTATTTCATTCTTTTCTTGAGTGATATATTTTGTTTTTTTATGTTTGTTTATTGTGTATGATATATTTGGTTTTTGTAGTTTAGTAGTACAATGGAAGTCCGAAATTCTTTTAGTTTTAATACTCAATCATTGCCTACGGCATTCAAAGTAATTTTTATTATTAGGTATCCTGCAAAATGACAAACAAGATTCATTTCTAAATTACTGTTTTTCTGATTATCCGTATCTATTTTTAATTTTTATGGATAGCTCATGACAATTCAGAGAGAAAAGAACAGAGGTCTCGTTGTTTTTTATAATAATGTTACGGATTCCGACGTAAACAAATAAAGTCTGCCGTTTTTAATAAGATCTTTGCCAGATCATTTTGGCAATTTTCAGTACCCGTGAGTAATATTCGGACACAAAGTTTTTTAAATATTCTTCTAAACTGGATGAATTTATCCTGGATGGGAATAATGATAGGTTTACAAGATATTAGAATTAGAAGAATTACAGAAATTACAAGATAAAGTTGCCGTACCAGATTTTTATGAGTGCAACTGTACACTCAAATCTCGCATCTCGCGAGACAAGCTTTTATATAATATAAAATTCTGTAATGACGTTATAAGTCCATAATAAAAGTTTATTTTTTTTTCTTTTTAATGTATTTAAATAAAACCTTGTTTTTAAAAAGTTTTTTTTCCTAAATTTATTTTTTACTTTTTAGTTATGCTCAGTGCCACACACTTAAACTCAATTCTTTTTCTTAAATAACTTCCTATGGGCATCCCAATAATATGTATATCGATTTTCATTAAAAAAGGAGAACTTAAAAAAACGACAGCTGTCAAATTTGACAGTTCAAATGTGAGACAATAAAATGAAAACCGACTATGGGGTAGGGAGCATCCAATATATCGATTTTTATCAAAATCGGACAACTTTGAGATTCTTTGACAGCTGTCAAATTTAACAGCTCAATTTTTTTTCTTTCATTTTAGCCCCTGGCCATCCTATATATCGATTTTTATCAAAATCGGACAACTTTGAAATTCGGGTCATGCTTTGCAAGAAAATGTATTGTCATCGGGACTGAACCTATGTGTCAAATTTCAATTTCCTACAATGAAAGGAAGTGCTTCTAAAGATTTGCCCCGAACAAACATACATACAAAACAAGTTAAATAAAAGCTTGTAAAATAAGCTAGGGACTGCTTTCCATTGGTAGAGATACCTCTTACCATACCAACATTAGACACCCGAGCTGGTTTGAACTCCTGCCTACTGCACCTTTTCACCTAAACAAGAAAGTAGTCAAACACCAGTCTCGATAGTTTTCTTTAAGAAAAGCTTCAATAAAGCTCAGAATCCGATTTCTTATATAATAAAAAAATACAAGATCGGATAATAAATTTCAGTACAAAATACGAAAATACTATAGTCGACCGGCTGGTACTGAATAGGCTGTGCTTTAAGCAAAGCCTAATGAAGTTAAGAATCAGACTTATTACATAAGATAAGGTAATATCTAGGCACATATTAACACAGATTTATCAGTAAGACGGAGATTAAAACAAGGATGCATCTGGTCCTTTTAAAGGTTGATTCTCACTATACCTTCCATATCATCTCCCTTCGGTTTCCCTTCCGTTTACATAAAATATTATATCATGTAAATGAATAGGACAGTTCCGTTTCCCTTCCGTTCCATATCCTTTCATTCCATAATTTTTTTTTGGCGGACGGACTGAAGCGTGCGGAAACAGTGTTGTCAAGTTCTTACATTTGTACCAGCTCTGTTAACATTTTGCTGATATTTATTGATTCTTTCACCTCTCAATTAAATCTATTACCTTTCTCAAAAGATACAAATTTTTAAAATAAAACTTTCGTAATGATATAAATTGTACAATAAAAAATATGGAACTGATACGGAACGGAAGCTTACGTATAGCGTCAATACAATAAAAATACGGAACGAATATGAAATAGATATGGAATGGAGATGGAAGATATATTGAGAATCATCCTTAAATATCCTATTTAAAGGGATCGAATGGCAAAGCGCATGCATATGATGAATCGCTACAAAAAAGCTGTGCCACAGATTAAGTTTATTTCAATTGGGAATATTTTTTTTTATAAAAGCCAACAATGCATTCGAGAAAAAACGAAGTCTCATAACGCCATAGCCCTATTAAAGGTCCGAGGTCACGGCGATTTTTTTCAAGATTTTTAAAGTAAAGTCACCCCAAGAAGGGGTGAAAAATATAAATAAAGTGTTGTTTTCAAATTTCAGAGAAACAGTAAGGAATTTGAAACAAATGTTTCAATAAAAGCTGTCCCCTAGATTATAGCCACCTTATCTCGGTTAGTTTTGATTTGAACAAAAAGTAGAGACCATTATTATGTAAAATTGGATACTCTACAACTCTCATTTGGACTTTTTTTCTAGTCCTTACCGTTTCTCCGAAATAATTTTATTTATTTATTTCACCCCTTCTCGGGGGTGAATTAAAAAAAATCTTTCACGATTCATTTTTAGATCTTTCAAAGTGACTTTTATAAAAATTCAAGTTTTTACCAAAAGTTCGTATTTGAAGGCCTATTTTCTTGGACTATAAGTTAAAATAAATAAAGACAATGGAAGCCCGAAATTCTTTTAGGTTCAATACTGAATCATTTTCTCAACCACATTCAAAGAAACATAATAAAACACGTCTTTAAAAAGAAAGACTGCTTCTGCAGTAAATAAAATACTTCAAATGGACTTTATTTAGATATTATATTCCAAGCTCCGGACATAATACACATTAACCTGTTTCAACACTAATTATCGGTAATTAGAACCCATAAGCTGTGTTATACTGTCCCAGCAGACCTATAGCAAACTCCGGCAGGGATACCACAAACCGGTCTGGTTGATTTTCAGGTATTAAGATTGTTTGTAGGGCTAGGAACACAAACTAAACGACTCATGGCTTTTAATAATATCTATATTTTAGATGTCAGTCACGTTATAATTTAACACGAAGCTATTTTCTTAGCTTACATTTTATTATTCTGTCAAATTAAAATAACAAATTAAATCGGAGATATTGCCGGCTAATTAAATACAAATATGATATTTGATTTTGATAGGATTTCTCAATTGTTTCAGTTCATTCGTAACTTGAATACACTTAAATGTTATAGATAGACATGTAAAAGCAAAAACTGCAGGGCTTTAACTTAAATAAACAACTGTGGTGGTATCAAATTGAATTCTGATGGCCCGAAAACTGACGTATATGATTTTTCAATTTTGAGTTCCTTATGTTATTATGAATTATTAATACAGAACGAAATAACACTATACAGGATGTCCCAATGTTCCGTTTACATACAACTACTTACATGGTATTTTATAAAGCGAAACTGAAGAACTTGGAAGACTCCATCCGTAACCTGGAATGGGAGTCCTCTAACGGTCTAAGACACTCGAAATAGTTTCTCAGAACTTATGACAGAGAAAGATCAAAGAAGTCACGGGGTTTCTAACAGGACACTGTCTCGAACAACTCAGTAGATTGAAGTTGAGAAACAACAGTGATTGCAGTTTCTGTAGGAAAAAAGAAAAAACACCAGAAACCGTTCGTGCCACAAACGTCGGTACGGCTAATGTCAAAAAAGATGGAGAGCTGGCCTCTGTGGAGTCGTTTGAGATACTGGCTTTTGGCAAAGCCCTTAGGTTATAAGTCGTTATAACTCAAGAAAGGGGAACACACAATAGATCTGTAAGGTCGCGGTGATTAACCGTCCTAAACATTCTACAACATTCTACTTGGTATTTTTGGAATCAAAGAATCATCAAAAAATCATTCATTGGGCACCATTTACCTCTATACCTGGGTTTCTTAAACTTTTTGCAGTTACGGACCACTTTCGCAATTTCTACAATTCCACGGATCCCTATCAGAAATAATAGAAAAAAATAAAAAAGCCTTATTTACATAAAAAGAAAACGTTTAGTAGATTTATTACACGTACACTAGTAAATTAGTGAGAAGGGTGCAGTTGTTTAGCCTCAATGAGAACGTTAAATTGTGGGGTTATCTTCGACAAGGCAAGGCGCATATCATCTGCGACATTCAATCGGTTGCGACTTTTTGTTTTTATTTAGACCACAATGAGACCATAACCGAGAACCCTGCCTCGCAAAGGTACGCAGTAGCAAATGGTATCAGAACGGACATAGCTTGCTTGACAAGAAGAGGGTAAGCTTGACTTAAAGAACACCAAAACTCGCCAAGATCTTTTGCATAAAGTTCAGCTTTCAAAACTTATTTTGATCTCATGTCAATTAAGTCATCTTTAATGAGATCGTCATCGGTGATATTATCCGTGTCAATTATAAATGGACCCCGCACCCACGTTTTATTTTAAAGCGATTCTAAGTTAAAGTAGCCCTCAAAAGAAGTTTGCAATGTATCCAAATGCTTAGACACCTCTTTCTGTAGCATTTTTGATATCGTGTTGCCGTCACCTTGTGCTATTAACTCTTCAAACATCGGAAAATTTGCAAAGTTACCAGATTCCACCTTCCTTTTCCAAAGTGGCAGTTTACATATGAAAGCTTTCAACCGTTCAGATGCATCCACGATGGTCACCGCAGAGCCCTGAAGAGACAAGTTAATCTCATTCAATTGAGTAAATATATCTGCCAAATACGCTAGACCCCGTACCAAATCTTCGCTCTTAAGATATTCAGACAGTGAATTTCCTTTATCTTTTAGAAAAAGTAACACTTCTGTCCTCAATTCAAACAATTGCTTTAAGACCTGTCCCCTTACCAGCCAACAAACTTCTGTGTAGTAAAGCAGTACTTCATGTTCTGACCCCATTTTGTGACAAAGTCTTTTAAACAGTTATTTAAGGCTCTTGCTCTGACGAAGTTAATTATTTTGACTTATGTAGATATAACTTCCTTCAGAAATGTAGATACAGTCCATGAAGCCAAGGCATATCGATGTAAGACACAATGAGTTATTATGACATGAGGGATCTCTTTTTTGACGAAAGCCGCGAAACCAGACGTATTACCAAGCATTGCAGGAGCTCCATCGGTGCAGATACTACCAAGTTTAGTCTTCCAGTCTATATTCTGTTCGTTGAAAACCCTTTTTGTCATTTCAAAACCATCTGAAGCCTTTGTAGTCTCCAAAAGTGAATTGCAAAAAAGAAACTCTTCTTAAATACTACGTGTGTCTTATTGTATGTAACGGACAAATACCAAGAGTTGGTTACATTGTGACACATCGGTGCTTTCATCCAATTGAATGCTGAATGGAAATGGTTAAGCAATTAATTCTTCAACAACTTGTTGTAAAACATTTGACGACATTTTAACAATTCTAGAATGAATAACATCATTTGATAAGGGAACAGCTTCAATTTTGTTTTTTTTGATCCTTACCACAGACAAATTCCACAATATCCAGTGCGCAAGGTTTCACTAATGTTTCCGAGATAGTGTCTGGCTTCTCTTGCTGAGCAATACGGTAAGCAACCTTGTATGATGGCCTCAAGACATGGACATTTTGTGTCGGTGTGAATCCAAGTTTAGGTAAAGTGCCGGATTTTTCAAACCGAGCCTTCTTAGTACGAAAATCGTCAATGTCGTCGGAAACATTTCCAGGGTGGACAGTTTTAAGATGTTCTGATAGTTTCGCTGGCTTCATACTTCCATTAGTAAGCACTTTACTGCATAAAAAGCACTGCGGTTTTTCAATTTAGTGATTAAATACCTACTGAATTCGCCGCCCTACGCTATTTCTTTTCTTAATAAATATGTTTACAGTTAACTGGCGTAATGTGGACCCTTGCTACAGATGCTATTGACCCCTAAGGGATCCATGGACCACACTTTAAGAAACCCTGCTCTATACAAAACTGCTTCGTTTGTCCGTTAGAGGACATCAAATTTTAAAAAAATAAACACATTTTTTAAAATATGTTAAGAACCGTTATTCCGATTTGAATGAGATTTGAGGTGCCTATGTTTTAAACACCTTAACGTTTCACTTTCTGAAAGAACAAGAAGTACGGGAAGGGTGAAAACTAGCCCCACCTCTACATAAATTTTAGTAGAAGTATTCTCCAACTTCGATGGCTACTTTTTTTTCGTAAAATGGTCCTCCTAGTATTTAAAGATTAGTAAAAAAACGCCAATGCGCATAATTTTTAAGAAAATAAAAATGTTTTTCCGAAATTCACTTACAAAAGTTGACGATTTAGTTGGCGAAAATATGGAATGTTATGTTAATATCACAAATATTTTTGACGATAAGCTTTATAAATTTTATAATAATTATGGTTTAGGACTGATTTTAATTACAGTTCCAATGAACTTACTTTGGTTCCAAAAATACGTAGTAGTTCTATGTCCACGAAATATTGGCACGCCCTTTATATCAATAGGTAAATTATATAAATTTTTAATAAAAAGGTGTGGCAAAAAAACTTTCATAGTCTAAGGAAATACTATACTCAATATCATAGTTTATTCATCAGTCAGCTAGTCATCTTCATTTTTTGATTAAGTACCTGTGCTGAACCTGCCCCGTCTATTCTCGTTAGGATTGTTCCTGGATGTAATAGTGCATATTATGATGCATAATTTACATTCAATATTATGTACTACAATGAAAATATATGCACGATTTGAATAGGCGTCATATAGCTTTGCATGTAGAATAACCAACTGTCAGAGTTTTGTTCGAATATTGCGACGATACTTCAAGTTAAATTACCACAGACAGATGTACATTTTCAATAGAATATACACAATTTTGAGATTGCCCGATGCACAATCAAAAATGTTCAAGGAACAACCCTGGGGTTCTAGTACACATGCACACAGTTAAAACACTAGTCTCGAGAGTTTTTATCGTGTTTTCTTTTAAGTAAAATTATATTTTGGCACTACATGTACATTTTTACCCAAGTGAGACACCCCTTGGATCACAGTCTATTCATTAGACAGCCAGTTGACCTTATATCATTTTTTACATGGAACTCTGTGTACAACTCTGTTTACATAGATATGCGCTTATATTATGTAATAAGTCCAATGGAGCTTAGAATTCGATGAAAATATTCAAGGAACAACCCTGGTTCTAGTAGCATTAGTACTAGAACCAGGGTTGTAACCAAGTAATTTAATTAGAATTTCAGTATAAAAATAGAAATATATCCATCGTCTAAGGCATATTTACAGAATGTTCCTGCGAACCATGTGTGATTGCTCCAGGAGATATTTTGTCTATTTCTGTAAACAGAATTAGCGATAAAGCCTAAATATATCAACCACAAGTAGTCGTACAACGTAGTTCACGCATTCATTATAGTCCTACAATATGGCCAACACCTCGGCCAACACATACTTAGTAAATTGTATTTTATGTGTCATAGTGGGAAATGCATATAATTGAAAAACTTAATATTTTTATTATTTAAAAATATTTCATATATCAAAGCAGGCCAGTATTACACTACTTACCACTAATTTACACACAAATTTCTTTGTCAAAGATTTAATTTTATCAAAGAATTTGACAGTGTAATATGTGTGATTTTATAAAATATTGTATATTAACAATGTCAACCTTTTCATCAAATATCTTTTATAAAAGATCTTTGACAAAGAAATTTCATAGTGTAATACTGGTCATATTTCAATCATAATAAATAGGTATTATTAATGTTACTTACATAAATTTATCCTAAAGGAATGCATTTTAAGTACTTCTATATCATTCTACTTGGTATCTGAAATAAATAGAAAAATAATGTTAAAACCTTCTGATAATAATATAAGTATATACAGGTTGTCCCAGAAATAAGTGCAAGTATTTTAAGGGCTGGTAGATCTGGATAAAAGAAAAACATATTTTCTCTTTATCATTTTTCAAATAAGTCCAAAATAAGTTAACTTAAATTAAAAATTTCAAATAAAAATGATTTTTTGTTAAAATTTTGAGAACCACTGGATCTCTTTCTGGATTTTCTTTCTTGTAAATTTAATCTAATACCTATATTGCCATATTATCAAAAAATATTACTATTTTTTTAACTAAAAACTAAAAGAAATTCCAAAAAATTTTTCAAAAAATTTTTAATTTTCAAATTTTTTTTTTCGCGAAAAAACCGAGAAAGAAACCTCATAGGCATTTTCTGGGGTTGAAATATACTACCAGTTAAAATACTTGCACTTATTAAATTTCTGGGACACCCTGTATAAGTTTATTTTAGTACTCCAATAATAGAAGACTTCCGCTATAAGTCGCTAACCGTTGATGAGGGAAAGATGCATATATAGAACTATTAAAAATAATAATAATAGCTCCCGTATATAGCGTTTAACGCCTTGGGAGTAGCAAGGCACAGCTTGCCATGCTAGAGCCGTTCGGTATACAAGGAAAGTAATGTGGCTAGCACTACGCTTCAACCGCCTATTATTATTACTTCAGGAGTGTGAATCCCAAGTACTCATTTAAGGCTGAGTCGACCTAGGTACCCAAACTATTTTTATTTTAATAAAAATAGTCGGCTGAAAATGGCGGGTGTAGGATTTGAATCCACAACCTTGAAATTGGTAGACGAGAGCCTGTACCTCTACGCCACCGGGCACCATTATATAAATATATATATATATATATATATATATATATATATATATATATATATATATATATATATATATATATATATATATATATATATATATATATATATATATATAGAACTATTCATATAGGTAAATCGGCCAAGGGAAATCGCTGTAAATTATTTTCAAGTTCGAAAGTTGGTGGTCGTTAGAGGACTTTAGCAACACAATTAAAAAAATAATTGAATATGTTGAAAATTGAAAATATATATGCATTGTATTCTTCTTCAACCAATTATACACTTTCTTTTCTTGACTTGATCATTTTATTGTCAAAAATAAAGTGCTGGGGAAGATTTAACATTTTTTCATTCAAATCTCTATATCTCTGTTTTGGATTAACTGATATGATTAAACTTGATGTGAATATAGAAACAACGTCACAGTGACATCTTTTTTGATACCAAGTTAATTAAAATCGGTTCATCCAAGATATATCAACATTTGAATGTAAAAAAAGCTTAACCCCCCCCCCCCTGTGAGGCTATGTGAAAAGCAAAACTTACGGAAACAATCCGCAAGCCATTCAACAATTGAAAGAAGAAATTAGGCGAATAATTAGTAACATAGATTCTTCAGAAATGTGTGCTGCCAAAGAAGTCGTAGTGGCCATTTGGCAGATATTGTGTTCCACGTATAATTATTGTACACTGTCCAGCTACGCCCTGCCATAACTAACTTTTAGATATGTTATGAAACTTTTATTTTATTCGTTATCTATATATGATTTTTTTATCTATATATTTATTCGTTATCCATATATAATTGGAATATGTATCGGAATTTAATTACCTCGGCAGTTTGATTTCGGAAAAGGCAAATATCGACTCTGAAATTCAGCACGGAATCAGCAGCGCCTTATGAGGATTCTGGAAATTAAAAGACAGGGTTTTCTACAATCATGACTTGAACACAAAAACGAAACTTGATGTGTATTGAGCAGTAATAATCCCCACCATATTATATGGGAGCGAAACCTGGGTGCCGTACCGCCGGCGCCGGCACACGGTAGCATTAAACAAGTTGCAATAGAGACACCTTAGACAACTGTTAAGAATCAAATGGTCCCACCATGTCTCAAACGTATCAGTGCTTGAAAAAGCAAGCTGCGAGAGCGCTGAAGTCATGATTACTAAATCTCGCTTAAGATGGGCTGGCCACGTATGCAGGATGCAAGAAAACCGCCTACCGAAATCTCTTCTTTACGATGAACTTGTAGAGGGTAAGAGGAAACCGGGTGGACAACTCAAAAGATACAAGGATGTTTTTCATGAAAACTTAAAGGGTATAAGTATGCAGCATTAGTGGGAGGAAGCAGCGCACAATGGAACGCAATGGAAGAGAATTGTAAATTCAGTTAATAACGACAACCAAAAAGTAAAGAGGCAACAAAGTAATGAGATTCCGGAGTGCGGAAGAGAGAACATCACGTATCGGGCTTTTCAGTCACAAAAGCTCATAACAGGAAACGCCTTGCGTAACCATCTTCTGATGCGTGTCAAATACTCGTCAGCGAGTAATGGCAGTAATAGTACTAGTAATAATTCGTTATCAACATCCGAAACCTCTTATTGGAATACCCCTTAGTATTTTTACGAGATAAAGCAAAAATGGTAAAAGTAATTTAAATCAAGGATTTTTTAATCAAGAATCATATCAAACTCAGGAGTTTGATTGGTTTTTGACCTTTACTCATTTCATTTCACTTCACTTAAAGAACGATATCACTATCGATAATATTGATAATAATCTTGAAGCGAATTTCTCTAGAAAAAACCTTTCAATTTGATTCTTTCAAGTGAAACATTGTCCATTAACTTCAAATAAACTCATAGAAGTTGCTTTTTACGGTTCCTATTGAAAACTGATTGTTTTCTCTGTAGATACAGCATACAGAAGACTATACATAACATCTCCCCGTGCATTTTATTCATCCGAAGGTCCACCTATGCACGAAAAAATGGCCGCTCGTTAAAATTGTTGCGAAACGAGTTCGGGGGACGGACGGCCAGAACGAGATGCCGAGACTTACGGAACACCGTCGTCCCATGCGTCAGTAGTCGGCCCGGAGAAAAACCAACAAAAATACGACGCCGGATAAATATGATCCATTCGCGAGGCCGAACGCCACCAAATGAAGAAATCGATACCGAATGGGACCGGGGGTTCATACTGGGAGAACGGGACAGATGAGGCGGGAGAGATCTGGAGGAAACGAGGATGACTCCAAGGCAGAGTAATGGAGCGGCTTTTTTCTTTACTAGTTATTTTCAAATACGTTTTTAGGGATCTTTTGATGACGATCGTATGGTTAAATCGTAGGAACATAAAAGCATCGCCTATTCAGTACCAGCTTATGATCTTCAACGTCAACGTCATCGTAACTTATGATCTTTCATTGAAACAATGTAATCCTACGCTATGGGGGCGTCCATTAATTACGAACCAAAAGGGGGGAAGGGAAAGGGGAGGGGGTTAAGCCGAATCTCACGTAGAAATGGCAGATATCACGTAATTTTTTTGGGACAAAAAATATTAAAACATGTGAGAAAATCAGATTAATTTAATGTTAAACATATTTCTAGACTAAAATATGTCGAACTCTGACACAATTCTTGTGTATATTAAAATTCATGAGTAGATGTAAAGTGATTTAGTAATTAGTAGGTACCTATACCTATTGACATATCAAAAATGTGGTCCCCGATTCCTTATTAGTTGATTAATGATGGCGCATTGTTTAAGTAGCTAAATCAGAGCGACGGTGAAGAAGCAGATGATTTTACCGAAAAAAAATCTCCTATTGATCTATCAGCGATTTTCCCTCGTATACAACTGGCTGCTTCCTTTACAGCGTAAACCTCTATTGGTAGAACATTAGAGCCATCCGATGATAGCCAGAGATCGTCGGATAGTTCTAGTTCCTCTGAGAAGATGCTTGTGGCTCCTGAAGTCACGGAAGCATTTGTGTAGACTGCTATCTCTTGAGTGTTCATTACTAGGTTGCTTTTCCATTCTTCTCTTGTGAGGAAGCGAATCAGTAATAATAATATACCTCTTTCGTGATCTTTTCTCCAAAATCATGTTTGGTAAAAAAACGAGATTTGGTATGTTAGTATATGACATAAGTTAGCAATTGTTTTTGGTCACTTCCTGTTTCACCGGAAATGACTACAACTTTTGATTTTTAAATGTCACCCTCGGTATGAGAACTGAACTCTGAACACCCTGGACACTCTGAACAGACTGACATATCATATGTCAACTTTTGACATTTTCTCATAATATGATTTATTTCAAATTGTAACATGCGGTTCATAACGACAATTTGACTCAAAATACCAAGTGTGTGTCGTAAAAAAATCCTTTTCCAAATATTCTAATGGAGCCACCCTCGTTCCATTTCAAAAAAAATGAGATATGATTAAAAATACGATTTGGGCATCTTTTAACCGGCCAGGACAAGACACAAAAAACGAGTATTTTAAAAAAGTATTTTAAATTTCAATCTAGAGTGCCATAGCTGTGTTAAAAACACTAATTTTTAATCAAGGAGCCTTAGAAAAATATATTTGAACGTCTAATGATCAAATATATTTTTCCAAGGCTCCTTGATTAAAAATTAGTGTTTTTAACACAGCTATGGCACTATAGATTGAAATTTAAAATACTATTTTTTTTAAAGCGAGAATTCAAAAATTGACATAATGTGATAGGTATACCATTCTATTCCGAGTGACATTTTCTATCGAATAAAATAAAAAAAAACAGAGTATGCCATTTAAAAATCAAAGTTGTAGTCATTTCCGGGGAAACAGGGAGTAACCAAAAACAATTGAATGTGTCAGTCAATCCTAATTTATGTCAAATACTGACATACCAAATTTCGTTTTTTTACAGTTGAGGGTTGGAACCTTTGGTGTTACACAGCAAAATAAAAACACTAAATCACCACAATACACCAAAACACTTTTACTTTTACACTGGACGCGCGTTTCGCTAACCATGTTAGCATCATCAGCAGATGATTATAAACTCAAAAAAACTCAGTTTATAATCATCTGCTGATGATGCTAATATGGTTAGCGAAACGCGCGTCCAG